CGTCCAACATCTGCAGCGTCCAACATCTGCAGCGTCCAACATCTGCAAGGTTCTTGTAGGAGTGTCCATGTAAATGATGTCACCGTGATCAATGGAGGGAAGGAAAGTCACAGATACAAGGTGTTCCTCAGGGTTCAGAGTTAGACAGGACCTGTTTCTGAAAACAAACCCAGTTTAACTTCCAGTTTCTTTACTGGGTTTTCCACGTGAAACTTAAAAGAGAGATGTGAGTCGACCAAGATACCCAAATATTTATAGGAATCATCAAACTCAGTGGGGACACCATTTGAGGATGAGATCAGAGGAAGAACTGCTGGGACCAACTTCCTGTTTGAAAACAACGTCTTTGGTTTTATCGGCGTTGAGGACGAGTTTGAGGTGGAACAAATGTGACAGGATGATGTTGAAAGCAGATTGTAAGAGCTGGAAGACTTTATAATGTGTAGAAGGGTTCTCCTCCTTTCTCTAGGAGTCAAGTGAAACGTACTTGTATATTTCTGAAGTCCTCATGATCTGCTACTTGTCTAGTTTTCATGACGTGTGCTGCTGCTGCCTGTTCTTGGACAGGAAGGAGGTCTTGATCTCAATGGGTTTTTATCTGGTTAAATAAAGGTTTAATAATTTTTAAAAAGTGTCGGTGTTCAAACGGAGAGGATGGTCCTCCTCTCGGAGCTGCTTCTAACTCTTGGCCTTATTAAATTAATCTAAAGTTCTTTTTCTGCCTCAAAAGTTTCCTTCTGAAAGAGAAAGTAAGACAAATGTATTATCTTAAGAGAGGATTACTCCAAACATACATTTCTCATGAATCAACATTCAAAATGGAACATGTTTGGAATGAAACTTACAACATGAACTGTTTTGACAGATGTCACTGTTCACCACAGAGCTCCTAAAAACTAATGTTCTTAGAGCTTTTTAAATTTTGTACCATCTTCCCGTAGGAACAGAAAAGTATTTGATAAGGGGAGATCTCAAACGTAACAAGTTTGAACGTTTAGAAACTCCAGGGTTTGAAGAGAAGCTCTCATTAAAACCTTCTCTCAGTTCATACACAGGCCTCGAGTCACTGACTTCATATTGTCAGGTGCCGTTAATACAATAACAGTCTGTTTTTAATTATAGCAGTCCCTCGTTTATCACGGGGGAGCCTTACCCTGAAGACCCGTGATCAGTGAAAAACCGCCAAGTAGGAATAGTAGAACAAGTAGTAGTTTATTTTATTATTTATATAAATATATATTAAGGCATTTTAAACCCTGACCACACTCTTGCAATATTCTAAACAATGTTTCTAACCTCTAAACGCTCTAAAAGAGACAGAATGTCATGACTTCAGCTCTCTGCCTCCTCTGCTCGCCTGCAAGTGTTCTTGGCCACGCCCACTTCTCCTCTCTGCACGCTGAACATCTGATCAGCTGATCAGCTGCAGCAGGAAGTTTATCCTGCAGCAGTAAGGGCTGCACAAAGCTGCAGGAGGTGCTAAATAATTAAAAATAATTTATTTTAAATAAACATTTCATGCCGATCGTGCAGCTCATCCATCCATCAATCAGTCAGTTGTGTGTCCAATCTTATTTTGAAAAACCGCGATAGAGTGAATCCACAATAAACGAACCACCAAGTACCGAGAGACTACTGTCAACTAGGAAGTTTGTGCGCTGAGACAGTATTTGCAAAATGATGTCTGTTCATTCAGAATGAACAGACATCATTTTGAACAGTTTCATCATCCCACACAGTATTATTTCTCAAGGTGAGGTGATGTCTTTCTGAGGCGAGGTGTCCCCCGACACAGTGCTTCAACAACGACGTCGTTAAGAACCTTCAGTGAAGCAGTCCTTGTGCTGTTTCCTGAAACCAGACTGATGGACAGGTGAGATGTTCCATGAGTCCAGGTAATCGACTACAGGTCAATCCCACTGAGCCTCGAGGACTCTTTTACAAGAGAGACCTCATTTCAACAAAGAATGACGACAACAGTGGACAGCAGTGGACAACAGTGGACAACAGTGGACAACA